ATACCGCCCTTCTCCCGCAGGACTCAGGGCGGTGCACAGCATATTAAAACAGATACACATATCAATAAAAATAAAAACCCCTCTAAAACCAAATTAAAACCAAATATTCGAAGCTGTGTTCCAATTAAAATTATACTTAAAATCGTCCCTAAATAAAATCCTCCTTAGGTCAGGCCCGCTTGCTGGAAAAGCCATGTCTCCCTTCCTTCCTTCCTTCCTTCCTTCCTTCCTTCCTTCCTTCCTTCCTTCCTTCCTTCCGCTGAGCTGCTAGACTAGTTGGAAACTAACTAAATGCAAGTACCCAATGTCAACGCTGCTAACATCGGACGTTCTTGCTTTGACAATATATGAAGTTGCAGCCATTTTCTCTGTAACCTGTGTGTTACTTTTAGAGTTAGAATTAGATGATGCTTGGGGGGAAGGGGGAAGAATGTGTATGGGGATTAGTTAGACATAACAACATCGCAGTAGAGTATTCTTCAAGGTTGTTTGAAATAAGAGATGATAAGGAATGGCCGGGTTATAGAACTGGAGGGAAGGTTTGCATTTCAAATTAATTGGAGAATGTGATTTATGACTGTTAATTGGAGGAGGGAATTGTGCTTTGATGCTATGTGTTTAGGGGAAGGGCATTCAGATTTTGGCTTCGACCATGTACGTGCTGATGCCATGTTATTTGAATAAAGATTCTTTAATGCCTCGAAGTTCTTTGAAGACTAACATCTGTCGGAACCATGACACCCAATACGTGCCTAGAAACTGCCTCTGTCAGAGATGGCACATATTGGTGCATGGGTTCCAGGAAAATTGGGGTACATTCAATTGTGCCAACCTTGCCAAGGAAAACACACACTCAGCAAAGAGAGAAAACTTGGTTTGCTTCTTATTTTTTTTAAAATCTATACAAGAGCAGCTTAGAGGAAGTTTAGAACGGAACAGAAAGACACAGCTTTCCTTTGGGGAGAGGATTTTTTTTTTTAAATGCTGCTGTGATTTCCATCACCGGCCAACAGATCCAGGAGCTGCTGGAAGCAAAAGGGAGCTGTTATTGTAGACGCCACTTAGTGCGAGGCTGTAGAGACGCTCCACTTTACTGCTGCTGACAAGCAGCGAAAGTGGTCTAATATATACTGTCTGTTGCTGCCCTTTAAATTCTGTTTTGGAGTTAAAGACAAACAGGCCCTCCCACCTCCATCCCAGAGCATCGCCATGCTTTAAGGGAAGCAGTGTTGAGAGGCTGCCATATTTACTTGTCTCTGTGTTTTGATAGCAGAGGCGGCAGGCTGAGTTGTGGGAAGGCAGCCAGTGGATGCCGATGAAGAGCCTGTAGGGAAGGAGAGAATGCCATAAACAAACCCCCAAACAGGGTTAGGAGCAAGAGTTGCTCCTGCTTCCCTTAGCTAAAACCGGTCTGCTAGGATGTTACACTGAACTTGGAAAAAATTTGTCCAGAAATAGGAAGGCGAGAGGTCTGAATCCTAAGTGTAATTCTGAATGTAGATAATTGTCGACATAAAATGCCCTAACCGTGGCAACTCTGTTCTGAAAGGGGGGGGGCTTCCCCAATAAAGGTACTCCTTGACTTACAACCACATTTGAGCCCAGAGTTTATGTTGCTAAGTGAGAGAATTTGTTGTGAGTTTGGCCTCGTTTTATGACTTTTCTTGCCACCTTTGTGAAGTGAATCACTGCAGTTGTTAAATTAGTAACACGGTTGTTGAGTGAATTTGGCTCCCCCATGGACTTTGCTTGTCAGAAGGTCGCAAAAGGGAATCGCACTTGACCCCGGGACACTGCGACTGTCATAAATATGAGTCAGTTGCCAAGCGCCTGAATTTTGATCACGTGACCCTGGGGATGCTGCAATGGTTGTAAGTGTGAAAATAGTCACAAGTCACTTTTTTCTATGCCGTTGTAACTTTGAACGGTCACTAAATGAATTGTTGTAAGTTGAGGACTTCCTGTACAGGTAGTCCTCAACTTATGACCAGTTGCTTAGTGACCATTCAAAGTTTTGACGGACCTTCTCAAGGCTACTTACAACCTGGATTCGAAACTAATCAAGGAGAGAAGCAATCTAGAACTAAGGAGAAACTTCCTGACAGTGAGAACAATTAACCAGTGGAACAACCTGCCTCCAGAAGCGGTGAATGCTCCAACACTGGAAGTTTTTAAGAAGAGACTGGACAGCCATTTGTCCGAAATGGTATAGGGTTTCCTGCCTGAGCAGGGGGTTGGACTAGATGACCTT